ATTTTTTTGCATTGCTTGCAAAATCCTCCGCAACTATTTGAATGGTACTACTTCAAAGAATAATTTTAGGTGGTTTCTCTTACATTAATCCAGAGAATGTCGGTTGGCGTCTAATGTTCGCGTTTGCCGCCGTTCCGGGTATTATACAGTTTATCGGTTTTCTGTTCCTACCCGAAAGTCCAAGATGGCTGTACGATCACGGTAGATCTGGTGAAAGTGAAACGGTACGTGCTATACTGCGTGTTAATGCTCGTTTAATCGCAAGATGTCACCAATCAGATCATTAAGAGATCAGTTTATTGGTATTGCCTAGAGGTTTTTCACTGATCTCGAATATTGAGAAGGATTATTCGATATATTGTTTAACAGGTAAAATGAATTTTGATACCTAATCTACCAGACAACTACGAAACTTTGTCAGTGAAGTTATGCTTGAACCACGAAATTTCAAGTTATTAGATGAATTTTGCGCAAATAAAGTTGCTTTCAAAACTGAATCATTTGAATTGGAGAAATCATTTTAAGGTACTCGGAAAGATTTATAATGGAAACAAGGAATGGATTCATTATGAACTCCAAGAGATATCTGACACCTTTGAGCAAGAAAAGAAAGCAAAGGAGGAAGTTGGAGGTAGGAGAGCATTGCAGCGTTATTATGAGTAGTGGTAACACATAACGATGATGATAGCTGGATTAAATACTTTCAGATTCTTTTGTACTAGCCCGCATTGTGAAAACTCCACATGTGCTTAAGGCCTTATGCATTGGCTGTCTGATGCAAGCTTTTCAACAATTCTCTGGTATCAACACGATATTGTGAGTTAGTCCATATTCCTTCTTCATTTCATCTCTCCACAAAATCCATTAAGGTCTTCATGGAAATATCTGATTTAGGTATTACACAGGAACGATCATTCAATCAGCTGGAGTGAGAGATATTCATACAACAATTTGGATCTCTGTTGGTGTTTCAAGTACAGTGATTAGTTCTCAATTGATAGACTGGACAATTTTTTGAGAGATGAAAGACCAACTAGTTCTCTTTTGAAAGATTTCCAGCTGAATGAAGCATAATTCATGATGAGTCGTTAAATTCGTCAAGCGTCTGTAGGAGCCTCACGGAAGATCTTCAAGACTGTGCAATAAATTGAGCAGCTTAGAAATTCACAGGGATCTGTGAATTGATGAAAATATTCCAATGAGTGTTACATCCTACTCTGAACTTAATTTGATAATTTAAAAGTCCGAAAAAAGGCAAAATTCGTTTCAGGTTTCAATTTCTTTGCAACCTTCTTACCAATGTATTTGGTGGAAAGACTTGGTCGACGTATATTGCTACTCGTATCAGTGCTGGGTGTTATTATATCATTAGTGGTAATGGGTATTGCCTTTGTGCTTATAAATAAAGATTCTGCATCTGTGACACCGTTGCGAGTAGATCCATCAAATGGTAACAATGAATTGTTTGACAGATGCAACTCGTACAGGTTCATTTTGCTCGATATCAACACCACATTCACCTTCGAATAAATTTCGTGCAGTAGCAATCCAAGTGACTGAACATTGCAAGCAATACTTTTGGCGAATATCATTTGATCTGAGCGTGATCGTCAATCACTTTCAGACTGATTGATCAGTTATTAATCGAGCGAAAACTCTCTGAGAACTAACTTTGAATCAGCAAGTTTCGTGCATGCATAGCGCATTCCTATGCGACAGTTAAAACGAAATTTTATTTTCAGTAGTTGCGATTTTTGTGTGACCGACGAACATTGTGGCTTTTGTAGTTCTCGTTCGGACAAAGAGATAGGGTGGGTTGCAGTTTTTTTTTTAAATTAATTATGCAGAAGTGTGTGGTCGGTCGGATTGAAGAGTCTTTAGATTATTTATCATATTCGAATTAAAATTAGGCATATTTTGTTGCTATCAGTTTAGGTATTGCTTACCGGCATCACACGAAGATCCATCCGTATCGATGATTGGACAGTGCGCAAGCGGTTACAATGAGACAAGTCACGAGTGGTCATCAGTGTTCTGCATCACAAAATATACCGTAATGCCGATTATTGTCATGGTATTCTATTTGGCGTCATTCGCTATCGGTTAGTTGATATCAATTGAAAATCTTTTTATTTTTTGTTGTCGACTTTCAACAAGTCAGTCACTTCGCCTTATTTAAATGGTTGGAGTGGAGTCGAGATAGTGAATGAGTGTTTCTAATCATTCATGCAGGCTTCGCACCCATCCCATGGGTGATGAACGCTGAATTCTACCCGTTATGGGCTCGCAGTACTTGTTGTGCGATTGCAACGTTCACGAATTGGTTCTTCAATTTACTTATTTCACTAACGTTCCTCTCACTGAGTGAAGCGGTGACTAAATATGGTATGTTAGAGACGTTGAAGTTTTGATTCCTTCTTCATTTAAGATTATTTGATTTCTGATAGAATCTGTCTGAAAGAAGATTGAACTCGAATGCAGAGATCCAAATTTGTTTGACTATTCTCGAACGAATTACTGATATATATGGGTTTTTAAAACCGTTGCATTACTGAAATGTGCAGGAAAATAAGTACGAGTGAATTTGATTTTCAGGTGCATTCTTCATCTATGCTGGTGTTTCATGCGTTGCGTTCGTGGTCTTCTACTTCTTCGTGCCGGAAACAAAAGGATATACCATCGAAGAAATTGAAATGCTTTTCATGTCAAAAGAGAAACGAAGAAAACTCCAAATTGCAATGAGTGAGAGGAACGATTCGAGTAACGCTCAGAAAAAGGGTTCGCGAGCGATAAGCACGGTCTCATCAGGTGTTTTGTAAATATTATGAATTTGTTCGAAGTATTCATATCGTTTTGTCATCTTTTTATTCGTTGTTGATTTGAATTCACGTGCATTTAAGTTCGATCTATAATGCAAGCATTTCATGATGAGCTGAAGCATTATCTGATGAAGCAGCAATTTCTTCATGCAGTCATTTCCCAAACTTATAAATTAGTTGAATGATCCATTTATTTGATTGATCATTGTCAATTTTCCATGTTATGCTGTCTACCATATGTTCTACTATGAAATGTGAATATGCAATGGTATGTTTTAAAAGTGAACGAATTCGGATGCTCCACTCTAAATTTGTCGAAGCGTGGGGACGTCTTATCATTTTAAGTGAATAGGTAGCCAAATGAGTCGATATAGATAGTTACTCAACTGGGCGGTAAATAAATGAGTGAATGCCTTTGAACTGTTCAGAGATGATCCCATTTNTTTCATTATCTTCTTTTTTTCGCAAGACCAACTTCAAGAATTTGGTTTCAGTTTTATCAACGATTGACATTTTTGAACTGTGTATGTAAAGATCTAATTCATCTCATTTCATTGCAATAACAAATTGCCTATCTTATTTGTGTGATTTCAGTGTGAAAATTAATTTATGAAGCAATTAATTCTCATGAAAAACTTTTGCTGCGATTTGGTGTTATTTGAAAGATTAAACAATACGAATGCAGTCAATAAATATTCGCATTTTATCAACTTGAAACCTTTCACTGCACTCTTTCCCAGTAATCATCACCTGAAAGTTCGCAAATAACAGATGCCATTAAACAGAATACATGTCATCCAATTGTTGTCATCAATGGAAATGTGCTCTTGTGAAGGACTGAAAAAGATCTGTAAAAGTGAATGAAACTACTACCGAAAAAAAAAGCGATTAGTAAGAAACGAGAACATTTTATTATTGCCCTCAACTTTGAGCGTTGAATGGAGAGAAGTTATCACTGCTTCTCGATAAGATAATTACTTCATCGAACGGTTCCTTATTTTGCACTTCCACACTGTGCAGTCAATTGAGAAGTTGCAAATATATGCAATCAGTTGAACAAAAATTTTCATTGATAACGTTTTAACTATACATGATAGTTATGATTGACATCGTTATCGATGTGAGCCGATAGCATCGTATTGGTCATATCATTTGATGCTGTTTGCACATCTCGTGAACAATTCAGCTTCATTAAAATATTTTCGTTTACAGTTCTCGTTCGTCATTATTATTCATTCAAACAGTGGACATTAAGGCTCTGAAAGGTACTCGTTTTCTCAACGTGATACCGCTTCAACTTTGAAATATTCCCTTTTCTCCATTCGTTTGAGCTATTCAACAGGCGTTATATGTTTGAAGTTTTGATTTATCCAGGAAAACGTCAAAATTCTTGAAAGTTGTGTGCAATCGTTCTGAATTGATCTATCTCACTGTTAGAAGTATCCCTATTCTCATCGATTGATTTGACATCTTAAAATTGAATTTTCCAACAACCTCACATCAGCATGATTTATTTGAATGTGACAACCTCAGTGATCAATGATTGCCATTTCAAGGTAAACAAGACCAATGAATTTGACTGGTATCCGCATTCGAAGAGTGCGTTTAATCTACTCGTCAATCACAATCTTGCTATTTCTTATCGGTATCGCGCTGATTGTTGTTGGTGTTGTTGTGCTCAAAGTTGTGCTACCTAAACGTCAGCGATATCTGCGAAATCCCATCTTACAAGTTAGTTGAAAGCTATTTCCATATGCAACTTAAAAACCCGTCCAAGTTCAGCATTGCAATTGCGAAAATTCGCGTATTCTTTCGAGGCAAACATTCGTATGTATAGCGAATGATCAAATAATTAATACAATATCATATCAACTGATCAATGCGACATCACATTCAAGAAGACGGCAAAAATGATTAATTTCTTCGCAAGTCAATGTTCTCACAGAATAGCCTTTCGAGTTTCATCTGAAAACATCGTCATTAAGGATTCTTATAAAGTTTCAAAAATCACTGATTATGGTTGTTGTAATATTAATTTCTTCAGTTCATTCGTCCACACATCTAGAAAGGCGTAAGCAAAATTATGAACGAATCATAGCACAATTTTAATGAGGCAGTTGTGATTTTAATAGCGATTTTTACGATCATTGCTCATTACTTCCATTCAATCTGTCAATCATTGTTCTAAGAATCGATTCATTGGTCGATGGCCAAACGGTTCCTTGAATTCACTCACTGCAAGATGGGTAAATCCACCGTATCGATTCTACACACAGTATTGGATTTACAATTACACGAATCCACTTGAAATAATGAATCGTGGAGCGGCACCAGATATGTTCGAAAAAGGACCGTATTCATATCGGTATCTTTTTTGGGCATACTCATTTGAGTCAATATTCTGGAGAATCGATCAACGTGTCAGTTATGTTTCTATGAGATGAATATTCAGCCATAAAATAGACTTAATCTAGGTTAAGTTTGACATGTGCAATTTTTTGATGAGATTTGATGTGGCTCAAGATGTGCAATGAATTTTGATCGGTGAATGAAATGCGTTCAGAANAAGAGCACTGCATAAAATCCACTTTCAGTGTTTCACTGGTGAATTATATCGAAAAGTTCTCGGACGATGGTGCTGAAGTGTTGTATCGACCGCAGAGTGTTTATCACTTCGACAAAGCAACATCGTGTGCTGGTTGTACACCGAGCGATATATTTCTTGTACCTGATACTGTATTTTTTGTGAGTTCTTATCAAGACTTTGTCGCAGTTCTAATCTCGATGCTTATCATTTTTCAACTGCTCAACAAAAACTCTAAAATGATCAGATATCAAGAATGTTTGATCGATTTTTTAGATCAAGAAACCAGTTTCAAAATACTCGTAAAAACCTGAACTGCTTGAAGTTCTTCAGGCATAAACCCATGCTTGACTAACGGTAATGTTTTCAAGATGCTAAACAGTGAAATTCAATATGATTTACACTAATGAGTCACTGATGGCATTTCAGAAAACAGTAAATTCGTTGACGAGTGTTGAGGGATTGAAAGCAGTTCTGTGCGCGAAACTCGGTGATTTACTCTGTAGTAGCGCCAATCCGGATGCGTTGAATGCCCTCACGCAAGGAATCATCGATAATTATACCGAATACGCAAGCATTGCTATCAAAGCGCTCAACGCTGGACCTCTTGTTTATACGGTCTTCCTAACTGTTCCATCAATAAAAAGCAAAGAATATGTCAAACAAAAGAATAGTCATTTCGATCAACTTCGAAAAATTTCAATTTCTTTTTAACGATTGATAACATTTACGATTTGATTATAGAGCATTGAGCTGATTATAGATTGATGTATATGAACTCTCTCAACTGAATGTTTATTGAGGGAAATCGAAAATTTCGTATCATTTTGGCAAATTCGATTGCAGACAGTTGACGATTTGCTCTTCAAAGGTTACGATGATCCACTTTTCACGAAAGTTGCTCAGTTTGCGGTGGATGCGATTCAGACAATGTCACCACCACTTGCACAAATGGTTCCAGAAAATATTTCAACGCCAAAAATTCATCTCAATGTAAACATATTCATTCCTTAATTTTGTCTAGCTTTTAATTTTTTGCTGTAGAATATGACCGTCAGTATCAAGTAAGATCGCTAGATAAATTCATCAAGTGAGTGGATCTGACTGGTGAAATACGACAACGGTAACATGAGTGGAGCATGNGCAACTCAAACGGACGAATGAACTCATGGGATTGTTTGTCTTCGTGAGCATCAGTAAATCGAATGTGATGTTCAGAACAACAATGATACGATCAATCCAATGTACACGATGAGTACTGGTAAGAAGCGTAACAAACAAATCGGTGAAATACTCTCAATAGATGTTTATCCAAATTCAACGGACAATTCTAATGGATCTTCACTGTCTACAACATGGTCGGTCACCTTTCACTTACACTTCATTCGGTTCTTTCATCCAAGCGTCCTATCGCCGTTGATCTTTTACATTTTCATGCATAAACACTGCCTATTTGATAGAGGTTGTTCAGACTGCTTATGATGCATAGTATGATGCATGCCATTATCAACTTACAAGAAAGAAATTCATCAAGGAAGTAAAATTCATTGAATATTAAGATTTCAGGTGGTCGAATCCGGATCAAAAACACTGTCCGGCACATATTGATGCGCTAGCAAGAAAAATAAACGGCACAAGTCAGTTGTTAGTAGCAATTAGATGGATGTTTTTGTTATTCGTTACTGATACTTCATAAGAGTCAAAATGCTGACATTTCATTGCTCAAACAGCAACACAAAGGTTGTCTGATAGGCGAAAGGAATACTTTTGAAGGTTACTTTAGCAGCATTGCTCCATACATCCACATTCGCCGTTATTTAATGCGCTTAAAAGTTGAAGTTCATAAAGATGAACTTTGGAAATTTGAAAAAAAAACATGCAGATGAAAGTTACTTAACTGAAGGATTAAATTAAAAATTTATTCTGAAGTATTGTTTGTTTTTCAGCGGGTGAGCTGTTCAGATCGCCAATTGATAAAACAGATCAATTGTATATTTACGACACAAATTTGTGCAGGTAATAAACAATTTCAAATGTATTCTCGTGAGAAATTCACAATAAAACAACCAAAATTTCATCGATGAGTACAATTTGTTGAGAGTTCACCTAAATTATCTGGAATTTTGTCATTATCCTCGAAGCTCGGTAGCAGATGAAAAAGGTATTCGATGCATGAGTCTGCCACAAGCAACTTTTCACTAAAGAGGAAATTTTTTGTGAGCATGAAGTGCTGTGAATAGGTCGAACAGAACCATTTGTTGGCCTAGTGAACGTGAAATGGATTCAGGTGCTGAAATCCTCAGATAGCTGGTTGTTAGTAATAATGAATGTTGCGAACTTATCCTATTCTAGATCGATTCCTCTCGATTATAAGGATAAAATCGTCATTCGTGGAATCAGTGGTTACCGTTTTACCGTTCCCTACAGTACATTCAACCTCTCAACGCAAAGAAACTGTGGCTTTTGTCATCGGCTCCAATATGATATTTTTTCGAAGAGAAATGGTAGCACTTGCCTTCCAGACGGTCTTCTCGATGTGAGCAGATGCATAAAAGGTAATAATCGTATGTTTATAAGCATGCAAATTCCTTTGAATTCCGAAAATCGATCATTCTATAACATATTAAATGAAATTCTGGAATTTTTTTCCCAGCATAAATACGAGATGATCGAAAACAATATCAAATGATGTGACAAATTCTAGATTTCAAGTCACACTTAACGCTATATTTCCGTTTCTAATGATTTACAAAAGAATGATCGATGTAGACAACTTCCAAATGAATTTCATTCCTCCCAGTGCTGACGATGCTTGAAGAATCCTCCTCATTCAAATTTCTCAGTTATCCCTGATTGTTCTTCATTTCGCAATAAATTTGAATAGGAAGGTTACCGATAGCCGTATCGAATCCACACTTTTTGGGTGCCTCAAAGGAGGTGTCTTGGACGTTTAAGCGACTTAAACCCGAACCAGCCATACATCAAACCACATTTGACATTGAGCCGGTAAGAGCATATCAAATGTTCTGCTTTATTCTTCTTATCTTATTGAGTTATTCAATTTTCGTGAGGAATAAGGCCATTACAATTAATGGATCATAATAGCATCAACACTGGTGCGTTTTCATTTGCAAAAATCTCTTAAAGTATAAATATTTTCTAGGTAACAGGAGTTCTTTTGAGGTCCAATAGGCGCTACCAGCTAAATTTGATGGTGAATCGCATTCCGCATTCGAGGTTACGTTTTTCGATCGCTTGACTTTCAGGTATTATATGAATATTTGATGCTCACTGATAAACAACTGATTTAAGAACTTATCAAGGCATATTACCCGCCACTTATCCGATTGTATGGATCAATGAATCGGCCGTAATCGACGAATCACTAAGAAATGAACTCCTTAACCAGCTGGAAACTTCGAACGGAGCAATTGAAATTGTTTGTTGGGTTGTTGGTGTTGGGATTGGACTGTTGTGCCTTCTAATCGCAATCATAATGTGTACATATTCCCTCTGCACATCAATCGTAAAGGTCAACTTGATTTCGTCATGTGCTTCAACTTAGAATACTCGTTAATAATCAACGTAATCTTCTACCGCAATGAACTGATCCGGTAGCATAGCGTGTCTGAGTAAAATTGAAAAGATAAGCAATGTACCTACACAGTGCATAAATAACTGAATATGAAGATGTGAACGCAAAATGAATCAAGACGACTTGTTTTGTTCTGATATCATCTGCTCAGTACCTTTAAAGTAAGAAGCTCTAAGAGAATATTGATTGCAGAAGAAACGTGCAGAAATTGACTTTAATTTCGAGTCTGCTCCATCAAAGGTCTCAACACCATCAATTACGGATGAAACTTGGATTGTTCGGAAAAGAAATGTGAACAAAAATGTTGACGTTGATGATTCCATTGATTACGACTGGTCCACTACTGGGAAGCCCGAACATTCTTGAGTATGAAATGAATTGGTTATCATGCTAAGACGTTGTTCATTACTCTGAAATGTGATATGAATCATCAGCATTATTTTCTTATAAATTCGAATTTCACGTGCAATGACAGATTCACTTTACATTGTTTCGTTGCTTTACTGCGTTGAGTATTTCGAATGATATATGATAGTTCTTGACAACACACTCCAGCACATATGTGCTTCAAGAAATGTTCAGCGAATTAATTGTTCTGCTCCCTATTACTGCAATCGATTATAAGTGCATGAAAAGCTATTGTGTATGACACGTTCATTCAAACTGATTCAGATGAATTCTCATTCCTTTTAGACATGTTGAATTCACTCTCATAGCTATTACATGCGAACATCGTTCTCTTGATGAGTTTTTCTCGTTCACTTCGTCTCACTTCACTTTACAGTTCGAATCAATTTCTTATTCTATAGCATATGCTATTTACTGGAGACGTTGACGAGTGTTGACAGTCGAAATCAACAATGCAGGAATTACTCAACGACGTTCGACAGTCCAATGATCAATTATACAATGAGAATTTGACTTTAAATGTTGNGTGAAATCAATGAGAAATTATCAAAAGAGAACACTTTTGGTGATAAAAGCTATGAGAGCGATTGTAACAGCGAGGAAAGGAATGAAAAACCTGTTAGGCTCGGAGAAGCTACTCAGAAAATTGTGGAATGAAGAGTGTTACCATCAGCTAATCGCATTTACATACCCGAGTTGAAAAACACCATCACAGTGGCGTTCTATCATAACATAACACTAATTTCCCAACCCCCTCAATTACCCCTTTACACCTCCGAACTACCCAAAATGGGTAATTTCACCCCCTATGAGAACCACTGCTCTAACCGAATGACAAACAAATCAAGCAGTTATTGCATGAACGATTACATATTTTCAACATAATTATTGTACAACAAAACAATGAATTCATTTGGACGTACTGTTTCAAGTTGTGCGAATTTAAAAAATTTCTAGCAATCAGACCATGCGACCATCGCCCAGCACCGGTGAGTCAGCCAAACTAGCTGGCGCTGATTGTATCAGCTGATTCTGGTCTTGTTGTGCTCGGTTATCACCATCATCGTCATCAGCATTCGGCGAAGGCGTTGTCCCTTTCTTTTCAGCACTGAAAAGAAGAGTTTTTCGATCAAAGAAAACATCAATTTACTTAGCTCTTTCATAGTTCCAACCCATTTGTGTATTAGGAAATTGAATAAACTGAAGACAAAGCTCTGAGGAGATATGCTACTTTTTAAGTCAAATTATAATGAGATTAAGCATTAACCAAAGGAGACTTGCAAATTGTTATGCATATCGATATTTGCAGATGACATTTCTCTTTAAGACATCATCTCTCAAAACATTTCACAAACCTCGCTCTTGCGGCTGATCCAATAAGTGGATTAACTTGTTCGTTCATAGCATCCTTAGCATAGAATGTCTGAATTTTATCGCACGACCAAAACTGATCCCTTTTAAGTTCGGGTAGATCATTGTGCGCTTCATCAACCATGAATAAGCAAGTCTGAAAGCTGTTCACAATAATAACTTCTTTCGGTAATCACATAAAGAATCATGGAATTCGCCAACCGGAAGCATCATCATTTCTTTCCAACTTATTAGTTCATTTCAATACAGTCATTCGAAGTGACTCACTGAAACTGAACATACAAAAAGTAGCAACAAATATCGTTCAATAACTGATACTCTACATAGATACACATTTTTAGAAGCATATGTATTTGATATCGATAAGTGGAAGGGTCAGTTGTCACCGAATGATAATGAACTGAACCTTTGGATGAGTTCTATGAAAATAGCGATGAGAATAGAGAGCGTTACACCGCGACAATTCACGTACCGCAATATTCTTGTCGATCAGATAATTCGCCTCAAAATCGTTTTCATCAGCACCGAAAGGATTCATCAACGATGTGGCCACCTTCATCCATCCCATACAGAAAACGTATTGTAACATTGTTATCACAGGCACCGTCACATGAACCTGTTTCGTACAGTTATATTTGCATTAATCAAACGGGAAAATTACACTCAGAATTCGATAACAATTGGTACTCACTGTGCATCATGGGACAAAACAACTACCAACTATCCTTGAAAATTTAATTTTTATCGCTTTTCGACCATTAAAGTTTTTAATTTATCTCATCCACCAAATACATCGTTTATTGCTTCATGGGAGAATAAATGATCACCATTATTCAACAGGTAATTGTTTGTTACAACTTGCAGTTAAAAACTGAGCAAAATCTATTGAGCAGATATTATACCTTTACAAACTGAATACACATCATAAACTCAAATTCATTATGTTAGCAGTGAACAATCAAAATATTCTGTTTTCGAGAATAAATTTTAGACTAATCGTCAAGAAACTTACAGGCTTATTGTCGAGGATGACGAACTGTCGAGAGATGAGGCAAATAGCAAAATAAACGTGTACTGAGAGTATGACAAACTGGAATTTTCGAAATTTTATAGGATTGAATGAAATTCTTCAAAATCACCATGCATCTACTTTAACAGTTCATTTAAAATCTCTAGGTAATCAGAAGAACATGTCATGCTGGCTCATTTGACATACTTACTGAAAACAACGCTTCCATATCTCTGCAGTAGGTTCGCCTATGTGAAGAAACATTAGTTTAAAATTTTAAGCAGCAATGTTATTTAGAAACTAATGTTGTAATTTCTGATCCAGCAATTAGACTCAGAAGTGATCTTCGATCCGCACTGATTGATAATTATAAATGAGATCAGTGATCGATAATCGAACCTCTTATGATTCACTTCTTGAAGAAAACAATATCTATTGATGGGATTGACAATAACCTGTGGATAGGCCAATGGAACAGGCACCCAATCGTAGTTACACAACACTTGTAAACAGTTCCTGAACTTACGTATCTCCTGAAGAATGAAACTTGAATGAAAGCTTTTTCTTGGACAACTTCTTGATTTCATGGAAGCAGCGAGCATTTGCAGTAAGCAGAATTTGAACTTATTGTGCATCATTGAAGCGGAATGAATTCACATTTGGTTAGCCGAAAGAAATGCGTTGATTGCAAAAGGAAACTTGCATCGCACGCCTTTGTTGTCCAAATATCAACTGCAATTTGACCAGCCTTACGCGCCTTCATCACTAAGGCAAACGCCCAGTTGATCGGGGCCCATTTTCGACCATAATCAGCATCGATCTCGAAGTGTTTGTAGGATCTGAGGCGATATTTTTCACTCTCTAACATCAGTCCTAAATCGGTATTCGGAATATATCGCATCATACTGACGACATAAAGAGGTTACCAATTGTGAAATATTTGGTTTTTGAAGATTAAGTGGAGATCTAAGAGTTTGCAAGTTGCAAGTTCATTATCGAATGGTTTCATAGAATTGACTGAACGTAACACTTCTTTAGTATTTTAAGAGTCCGAATATTGCAAGAAGCTGTTTTCTCGCAGATTGCCGAGATGACTGTACCTACCTGCTGTAACGATACTTTCGTATGTTGGAAATCTTCTACGAACCGGAATACTGATGTCACGGAGGACAAGCACTTGAGCAAGGCACAGATATCGAATAATTGTTCTACGCATCATACGCGCCTCATCATCATCACCGATCACAACGTTCGC